CGTGTGTGAATATTATTAGTATCAGAAATAAGTCTCAACTCTAAACATTCGTGAAATTAAGCAGCTAAAGTTAATTTCAAAATTATAGAATCGCATGTAACTGTGGCCTTCAGCGATAACCATATCTGCAAGTCATGTGCCGTGCAGGCATGTCAAAGACAGATAATGAAGTGTGAACAGAAAGATCAGCATACCTTGAGTAATGACCAGAATCATCCTTAGGCAAACACGGGCGGAAAACAGTAAAGGCCGGATTTTTTTTTCTATAAATAGCGTAAGAATAATAAACAGAACATCTAATCATGTTTTCTAACTTGATGACTTCTGACAATCTAATGGCTTCTGCTGATGTGATGAATTCTAACATTCTGATGACTTCCAATCTGATGACTTCTGACGATCTGTTGACTTCTGACGACTTATTCAACACTCAAATGATTAATATGGTGCAACAATTTTATTTAATGACGGATTCTACTGCCCAATTTTCGCAAGAAACTCAGGTAAATTTTTTTGACTCGGAATTTGCGAAAGAATCTTGAGTGGATTTTAGCAGTTATATACTTCGTTCGGTACCGTCTCGAGTGAGCAGTATTATTTGGAAAGCCAGGAGATTAGAGAGTACATTACCCTGGAAACCCGGCAGGAAAATGAAGTAAGCATGAACAAATTCAAATCGCTTTTTGGAGAAAAAAATTCTAGTCATTAATTACGGTGGTGCACACAACTGCCAACGTTAGAGAGGGTATTTCCGGACTTCCTCAAGTCGAAGATATTTCTGAACTTCCTGTAGTTGCGGAAATTTCTGAACCTCCTGTAGCTGAGGAAATTTCTGAACCTCTTGTAGCTGAGGAAATTTCTGAAATTCCTCTAGTGTATCGAGGGGAAAAGCAGGTAAGTAAGAAGGGATCAAATTATGTTCTTGTATACGATATACCGGAATCTCAACTTTGCTATGCTTTCCACTACCAAAAGCAAACAAAACGTGAGGGACACAATATTTACCGCTGTTCTGGATGTCAGCTACAAAGCCGGTGCTACACATCCATCCAGGTAAAAATACAATTTTAGAGTTGATTTTGAGTAAAAAATTGTTTTTTTGAAAATTCATGAAAAATAGAACAATTCAGGTCCACAATGACACTTTTGATAGAGATCCATGCACTCTAGCGCACAATTGCCTACCTCTAGATCGCTACAGTGACAAGGCAAATCGTATAGGCTATCAGGTAGTACTTTTCCGCACAAAACTGTCCTGATAACAAAAAGGATGTGCTTTACAGGCGTGCCAAAAGCTTAGAAGAGATAATAAAGCTTACAAAACAACTCCTTATCGCCATTACTCAGAAACTGCCCAAGCTATACTAACTGATGAATGGAGAAGTGAGAATTTTTGTTCTCGATATAGCCGCTTTTGTTAAT